GCCCACTGGGGTGCCTGGCCAGTCTGCGTGAGGGGCTGAGGGCTGTTTTCAGGCTGGCGGGTGACGGAAGCTCCCAACTGCTCCTTTTTTTCTTTTTAATTCTGGGCCAGCTTTAGCCTGGCTCCAGCTCTGACGCTTCCGCTTCTGAAAGCAGGTATCTGGTTTGTTTGTGTTCTATAATCGAAACTCTGTATCAACTCCAGCTCTGAGATCCCGGCTCACTGAAAGCAGGTTTCTGGGGTTTCGTTTAGCTTCTATATTTGTTACAGTGATTCAAACTGCCAGCTCAGAGGCCCGCAAGGCAGGCGGGGAACGTTGGAGTCCACCTTCATTGAAGCAAGCAAGCCTCATTCATGTGCACTTTAAGCTGCCTGGCTGCCGGCCGCCATCTTGGCTGGCAGGTAATTTGCATATCTTGCTGATTAGCCAATGGGAAGGTTAGCGGTCGTACGCCAATTACCATGTTTCTCTTTTATTAGATAATATGGTGTTTTAAATTGTGTATAAAGTGAATTCCATGTTTTATTTTTTCATAAGGCCTGTAGTGTAAGCATGTCAAACTCAAAGGCTAACATGGGCCAAATAAACAAGTTTTAAGTTTATGTGGGCTGCAAAAAAAACAAAAGCTTCAATTTTCATAGAAACATAGGTTTATTTCAATAGAGACATGCTGAATACAAAGGGCTAAAATAAATGAGTAATCTATACTAAGAAAAGGGTTATATGCTAATTAGACCAGATAGACAGGATGGATGTCTTCCAGACGTCCTTCCGGACATCCTTCCTGGCAAAGCCAGGGCCTGGGCAAAGCCGTCTGGGGTTCCGGGTGCCTGCAGCCAGCTCAGGCGAAGCTGCCCGGGTCTTGGTTGCCTGTGGCTGGCCAGAGGAGGGAAGCCTGGGTCCCAGGTGCCAGAAGAAAGCCGGTGCCGGCAGCCGGAGGAAGGAAGGTCTACTCTTGCATGAATTTTCATGCATTAGGCCTCTAGTCATTAACATAACTCCAAGACTAATGACATGGCAACCGGCTGCTAAAATATTCACTACTAGTATTAGTGGAGAGAAATGGTGCTCCTGCGTGTAAGGGAAATGAATGCAACATGATTATAGTAATCAGTCATTAGAGAATGTTGTAGTTCGTTATTAATAATTATATATAACAGGATATTATAAAAATTAAGTTATGAAATTTTTATTAAAATGTTTCTTACATAATGTTATATTGGCTTGGCTGCAAAAATATTTCTTGTGGGCCAGTGGCCCCTGGCTGCAAATTTGACATGATTGCTGTAGTGGTTTCCTCCTTACTCTTAGAATATGTTTTCATATGCCTACTTTGACTTTGTATGAAATGATAATGAATTTAATTGAATAATAATTACGATTTTAGAAAGTTTATTTTATCTGTGGTGTTTCTATTAATATACAATTTTTTTTTCAAAAGTTTTTTAATCAGGTTCTGATGCTTGGGAAAACATCTATCAGCGATTTGTCAGAACATGTCTTTGACTTAATTTTGGAACTCTATAATATTGATAGTCATTTGCTGCTCTCAGTTTTACCCCAGCTTGAATTTAAACTAAAGGTAACTATTTTAAAAATAATATGCATCAGTCAACTAAATTAGCACAGAGCATTATTTGTGCCTTTTTAATTCTTATAATGGTTTTATCTGAGGATTACAGAAATAATGGTATGTTATTATTATTGAAATTACATATTTATGCCTTGCCTATTTGTGTATTTTGAATGCCCATCATGATTTCTAGCAAATAGTAGCTGCTTAGTTAATTATTGGAAGGATGGTATTTTTTTCAAAATATTTTCCAGATAAATTCTAGGTTGTGACTCAGTTTTAAGGTCATAGCTATATATTAAGCTAATGTTTTCAAGTGTATAGTAGTTCCCGAAACCCCTTGACTGGGCTATAAAAATAGTTTAGGCTCTGTTACCCACGTCATGTGAAATATTTTCCCTTTGTGCATATTATCTTATACATTCCTATGTTAAAAGCACCTCTGCTTTTCATCTCTTAAAAGCATGTTCCCATTGACTTGACATTATTAGTTTCACTTGCAGATTTGGGGGATATTCTTTTTTTCTTTCAAATTATTATAGGAAAATTAAATAAAGCTGTTCATAATTAATAATCTTTGTGCATCCAGTGTACCACACAGAAAAGTTCTTATTTCTGTTACATCTTTTGTTTATAAAAATTTTGATTTGTCTTTTAAAAAACAACAAAATAAATAGTCTATTTTGGTGGTGTAATAATTCTTGGTTTATTCTTGGGTGCATTTTTGATATATTTCTTAGGTGAGTTATTTGATTTACCTGCCTCCCTACCCCCCTTTTTTCATGTAGTTAGCATTTTGATGAGGCATAGGCAGGCATACCTTTATTTATTGGTCTGATTTTCTCTAATAAAAATATTGAATACTCTAAGAAATGTAAAAATAAGGAATTATCATCCCTACTTTCAGCAAATCTAACATCTAGTATGAAAGGAAGAGGAAAATTTAATCCAGATCTAATAAAAGGCCAGACATTATAAGTGTCACAAAAGTTACGAACAGCATACAGTTGAAGCAAAAGAAACATCATGCAGAAGCATATAGAGGTAGGAAGGTGCTGGGTCAATTTGTAGAACACAGGGAATTACAGTTGGATGGTAGCATAAAGAATATTTAAATCATTCCTGGCTGCACATTAGAATCTTCAGCTGTGGAGCTATAATAAACAAGCTCATATCCAGGCTTTGACCCAAACAAGTTGATCAGAATTTCTGGCATAGGGTTCAGGCATTGGTTGGTTTTTTTGTTTCTGCGTGTGTGTTTTGCTTTTTTATAGCCTTAGAGGTCATTCTAATGTATAGTCAGGGTTGAAAATTACTTATGTGGAAGAATAATGAGATAGTAGAGATGAGTTAGGTCATATTATGGGAGCTCTCAATGCTAGGCTGAAGAATTGGTTTAAAATTTTTAAAAAAATCTATAATGCTGTTCACACTTTGAGTATCAATGTGGTGGTGTTGTTTTTTTAATATCCCCAATTGTTACATATTCAATTCTAGAATTGTGCTGGCTTATCCATTTAACCACTGTCATCTGTAAGTTACCAAAATCAGTAATAGTAAAATTGAGTTCTTGTCCCCGGAGTACCCACAATATAGTGTAGAAAACAAATTTTAACTTTTGCATGTCCAAGGCTTCATCATATTATTGAACTCTATTATGAATCTGGTATATGAACATGAACTAACTCTCCTACTGAGAGACTTCAGCATATATTTATTCCTACAAAGAGCTTAACCAGGACAATCATGTGGAATTCTCTGTTTACTGGAAGGCTTGTCCTTTATCAGTGTTTGTTCTTAAAAACCACAAATAGTTTTTCACAGGTTTGATGCAAGTTAGTTTTTGAATTTGACTTTGAATGAAAATAAACCTCAATTATAAAGGGAGAACCTCTAACATTCACTCAAAATTTCAGATGTATTTTCATGTAGGAAGTACTGCTTTGATGTAATTTGAGATGATTAGAGCATTGAAGATTTAATCTTGTGAGAAGTATATTGACCATTTTTATATATAATGTTTCATCTATAACTTATGGAAAGTTTTCTGTGCAATTGGAGGATAAGAGAAATAATGAGAAAATTATTCTGAATATATCTACTTCATGTTTTTAAAGCTATGGTTGTGTTTTGTTTTAGAGCAATGATAATGATGAACGCCTGCAAGTTGTTAAACTACTAGCAAAAATGTTTGGGGCAAAGGATTCAGAATTGGCTTCTCAAAACAAACCACTTTGGCAGTGTTACTTGGGCAGGTATATGATTTTGGTGTCCTGTTTAAAAGTCATGTATGTTTATATCTACTTATATCCCCTTAAAATACCATTCACATTTAAGTTTATTCTCTGAAATCAAAAAATGAAGTTTTATGTTTTGGATTTTTTGAATGCTGATAATGATTAGTCCCATTTACAATTTCCCTTTTGTTTTTCATCTTATCTTGTCCTCAGTAATTTTTAAAAGATGATACATTTAAAGTTACCTCACAAAGTATTATAATCATGAAATTAAAATGTATTACTATATAGCAGTAATTAATTCTACTAAAAATACATTAATTTGAGAGATAGCTCCTCCACAAAATAATTATATTTGGTTAGATTATTTGGAGATACATATTTAAGGACAGTCACAGAATGAGTAAATGAATGATTATGTATGTTCCTCCTCTTAGCTTTCTTCCTTCCTCTTTTAAAGAAATGATAACCTATGTTCCTCATACACTTTTAATGATCCACAAACCTCCTGAAATTGGTTGCAAAATTTTGAGTGTGTTCGTTTATTTCTCTGGAGAAGAGTTCATTTCTTTATGTTTGTAAAGGTATCCCTGACCTTGAATATATTAAAGTCACTTCAAGTGCCCTGGCTGAAACCAACTTTGACTCCAAGGATAAAGGATTCCCTCCCCGGTCCCCAAATTACTCTCATCTAATCTAATAAAAGAGAAACATGATAATTGGCGTACGACCACTACCCTTCCCATTGGCTAATCAGCGAGATATGCAAATTAACTGTCAGCCAAGATGGCCGCCGGCAGCCAGGCAACTTGAAAGTAACGTGAGGCTTGCTTGCTTCAGTGACGAGGAAACCAACGTTCCCCCCTGCAGCTGCAGGCCTCTGAGACTGCAGTTAAAGAAACTATGTAACAAATACCGCTGGACTTCAGCCAGCAGGATTGCAACATTGTAAGCAAAGGCCAGAGACCTACTTTCAGCAGTGGAGGCC